TCCCAAGGTCCAAGCTGGCACTTACAAGAAGTTAAGACAAGCCGAAGGTCAGAGTGAAGCTGGTAATACAGCAGCAAGGACAAAGCTAGGGGCACAGGGGAAGCCAGACTGAGACAGGACTCAAGAAATCAGTAAGTGATGAGGCCCATGGCAAGGCAAGACATTCAGAGTCCGGGTCAACAGTCCAGTCCTAGGATATCTGCAGGAACAATATAAGGAAGAGGAGGAGAATAGATGATAACAGAGCCGTCTCTAGCTGCTTTTAGGCCTCACTCATGTCCACTGAGATCCAACTCTGAATTAGACTGGCCTGGAGGCTTGTAGGTGATGGCACCTGAAAATGGCTTGCTGGGTGATGGGTATGGGGGTGGAGAGTAAAGGCAGGCCCCTGACAGAAGATGCTCACTAAGGACTTGATGAATTGAAAGAAAGCTGGTCATAATCAAACTCTTTCTCCTTCCCTTGAGAGTTGGTGGGACTTACATGTAGAGGTGAGAAAATGGGTTGGCCCAGCAGTTGACTCTCTGGAGCACAAAGCCAGATTGCAGCTCCAGGGTGGAGACTGAAAGGATCTTAGAAGTTTGGCCACTGCCCATAACACCTCTGCAAAAGCCCTCATTGTTGGGAAATACCCATGCTCTTCTGCATGACTGAAAAGGCACTGCCAGTTGGTTGACTTAGCTTGAGGCCCTGTTCTGGTGGGAAGGACCTCATTTCAGAAAATTCAGAACCTAAGAGGGGAAGTGGTTCAAAATTAAAATAAAATTCATCATACTCTGGTCAGTGCTCTGCCCACAAGACAGCTGTTGTGACCAAAATCCCTGTACCTCGTAGTCCCTCTACTTAGTCAGAAAACACTACAAGATGGAGACAATAGAAATTGGAGTAGTATTTTAAAAGGGAAAGAAGTAGAACCTAGGATTGTTTTAGGGGTCTAGGTCAGAGATCTGGAGCTGGAAGAGATCTAGTCCAACATCTTCATGGGAGATTCAGAGAGGTAAATGGCTTTGGCCAAGGTGACATAGGTACTAAATGTTAGAAGATGAGATTTGAACTGTCAACCAGGTGAAGCCCACTCTTCAAAATGCAGAGGAGTCCAAACTGGGTTGAAAGCAGAAAAATGTTATTAGGAGGAAAATCAGACACTAGTGCTGAGGCCCCCAGTACAAGGTACAAAGGAGCCCACAGCCCAGGTGAGGCAGGGGAGATTGATGCTTGGAAACCACAAAGGGGAAGTTCAGGGAGGGGTTGGGAAAAAGAATGGATAATCTTTCCCAGGAACAGGTGAACATAGAAGTATAATGCTTTGCAAGGACAGTTGACTGCAAGGCTGGTTTGTCCCAGTTTGGGGGGGGGCACAGTTCAGCAAGGTTGGCCATGCAAAACCAACAAAAGCGTCTGGGAGTGAGCAAAACTTTGGCCCACTACAGGCTCTTGATCAGCTCCTTTCTGCAAATAGGCTTACTCTGTGTCCAGTGCATCTGCCTGGCAAGGCAACTTATAGAAAACTAATCTCAGGGGTACTTCCACAGAACCTAAGTCTTCCTCCTCCAAAGCTAGTGTTCTTTCTTTTCTTTTTTCCCCCCTATTGTACCATGGGATTTTATTTTATTTTATTTTATAATTAATTAATTTATTTTTAGTTTTCAACATTTACTTCCATAAGATCTTGAGTTTTACATTTTCTCCCCCTCCCTCTCCTCCCCTCTCCCCAAGACAGCATGCAGTCTGATACAGGCTTTACTTATACATTCATATTAAGTATATTTTCACATTAGTCATGATGTAAAGAAGAATTAGAACTAAAGAATTAGAATCATGAGAAAGAAGAAACAAAACAAAACGACAAAAGAAAAGGAGAGAAAATAGTATGCTTCCACCTGCATTCAGACTCTATAGTTCTTTCTCTGGATGGTGGATAGTATTTTCCATCATGAGTCTTTTGGAGTTGTCTTAGATCCTTGCATTGCTGAGAAGAGCCAAATCTATCAAAGTGAGTCATTGCACAATGTGGCTGTTACTGTGTACAATGTTCTCCTGGTTCTGCTCATTTCACTCAGCATTAGTTCATGTAAATCTTTCCAGATTTTTCTGAAGCCTGCCTGCGCACCATTTCCCACAGGTCAATGTTCTTTCTAACTGTACTACATCTAATGGAAATGTGGAGGCTCTGGTCTAAAAGTAGAGACTGCTCATTTCCAAAGATAAGGGTATAAAGAGGATAAATGGGATAAAGCCTTGGGATAAAGATGGAGTTGCATTGTTTGAGGAGTATGAAGCTTTATTGGGTGTCCAGAGACAACTTCATCACTCAACTCCCAATCTACTGGTCTGAGTTTTGCCTAAATGCATAATTATTTTTTGAGAGACATCCTTTAGGCCTGCTTTATTTTGGAATGATCTCCAGAAGCCTGGGTTCATTGTGGATAACTTCTTTAGGCCTACTGTGGAATATGCCTAAACAAACATGACCTCCTGGAGTGTCCTCTAAAACAGGGTTAATCTGGCCCTCTTAGGCCAGACTTTAGCAAAACCAAATCCAGTCTGTAAGCTAAGAATGTTTTTTGTTTTTTGTTTTTGGTGAGGCAATTGGGGTTAAGTGACTTGAGCAGGGTCACACAGCTAGTGAGTATCATGTATCTGAGGCTGGATTTGAACTCAGGTCCTCCTGACTCCAGGGCTGATACTCTCTCCACTGTGCCATCTAGCTGCCCCTAAGAATGGTTTTTACATTTTAGAATAAAGTCTTGTTGTATTTGAAAATGTTGGGAAAAAAATAAAAAGCTTTCTTGCAGACCATGCAAAAATAGCCAGGCCAGATTTGGCCTTCAGGCTCTAATTTGCTGACCTTTTCTCTAGGCCACAGCCAATGAATGAGACTGGACTGGGTCCTTCCTCTATCTGGACCCCCATGCTTGGAGCTGATTAGGAGAAGGGTGCCACTGAACTTTGTAGTCCTATCCCTGTGTTTTTTGTTGTTGTTCAGTCGTTTTAGTTGTGTCCAATTCTTCGTGACCCCATTTGGTTTTTTCTTGGCAAAGATACTGGAATGGTTTGCCATTTCCTTCTCTAGCTCATTTTACAGAGGAGGAAACTGAGGCAAACAGGGTTCAGTGAACTGCCTAGGCTCACACAGTTCCTAAGTGCCTGAGGTCAGATTTGAACTCAGGAAGATGAGTCTTCCTGACTCCAGGCCCAGCACGCTGTCCACTCCACCACCTAGCTGCTCCTATCCTTGTGTTTGCTAAGTAGTAAAATATAATGAAAAGTTCTTGGGAAATGGAGACTGAATACCCATGCCATTCTAGTTGTTGGAAGCAGATTAAATTCAATGAAATAAACTAAGTGCTATGCTACGCAATGTGTTAAATACAAAAGTGAAGTACATGTGGTCCTAGCCCTCATAAGGGTTATAACCCACAAAGGGCAATAAGACATACAAGGAATTGTAATACAAGACAATCTGGGGTATGCATCATTGGGGAAATGTACAGAAGATGCCATGGGAGCACAAAAGGGTAGCAAAGCTGACCGTTACCTGGGACAGACCAGAGGTGGCTTTGTAGCCTTGAATGATGAATAGGATTTTGATAAAAAGAAAATGGAAGAGGGGGTGGTGGAAGAGGGCATCCTAGGCAAAGGGAACAGCCTAAGCATAAAGAGGGAAAGAATATTTTCCTGAAGATAATTCACCCTAATATGAGTGAATGGGAATGAAGGAAGGTATGCCTCTCTAATATCAGTAGACAATGTGGAGTAGTAAAAAACAAACAAACAAACACTAAGCTTTGGAGTCATAGGAGACTGGGGTTCAAATTCCACCTTAAACATTTACTGGTTTTGTGACTGTGAGCAACACCCATTCAGTGATTAAGGCTATGTGAGAAAGAAGGCAAAGCATAGCCTCTTTTACCTAGTCAGGAAAAAAAAAGTAATCTGAAAGGGAAGACCCCCAGGGTTTCTGGCTGAAACAGAAAGAATTGTTATTTATATTCACTCTGAGCCATCAGAGCCCAAATAATGACCAAATGAGGCCAAAGTCTCCCGCTGCATCCGAGTCCATTACCAGTCATTCTGATCTATGTCTTGCCACTGGACCCGGATAGCTCCAGAGGAGAAAGTGAGGCTGGTGACTTTGCATAGCCCTGCCTCACTTAAATCTAATTTACTTGCAAGTCATGACATCACCTCCCTGGTCCTTTTTGAGGACAAACAACAACAACAATGAGCAGGCCTCTGAAGCTTGGTTTCTTTTTCTACATAATGCATATAAAAGTTCCTGTGACATTTACCTCTTACAGTTATTGTGAGAATCAAGTAACCTGATGTATGTAAAGCATTGAACAACTTAAAAATTCTGAGTAAATCTTACCTATTATTATTGATAAGGAAATTGAGGTCCAAAGAGATGAAATAATTTGTCCTAGGTCACACAGGTGATAAGTAATAAGAGTCAGGATTTGAACCTAGGTATTTTGACTCCAAATCTAGCACCGTTTCTGGCCTACTTCCCATGGGTTTTGAATAGAGGATAGTGAATTTATTTTTGGACACACTATAGATTTTGTAAATATACTCACATAGCACCCCTTCTAATATTCCTCCAACTCTCACTCTCAGTGGTGGTTTGGGTCTCCAAAGGGTGTCTATTACTCTCGGGTAGAAAGGTATAGTCCAGGGGTGGGGTGGGGAACCTGTGGTCTCAAGGCCACATGCGGCTTAGAGGCTGCAGGTTCCCCACCCCTGGTAGATATTCCCAAAATTCTCTTCTAGGCTCCCCTTCCGTGTTTCAGTGACCTGTGCTGTAATTGTTTATCTCAAGTTCTCTGATCTGTAAGGTAGAAAGGATCATTTTTCTACACCTCTCTGCTGTCCAGGGAAAGCTGCAAGGGCAGGAGATGGCCCTTGGGTACGTGGAGCCCTGGGTTTGTTCACTTTGGGGAGGGAGCTGCTCTATAGCGAGTCTCACGCAGGCTCCTCCCTTTGCTGTCTCCTAACAGGACTGAGATGCGCTGGCCCTAGCTGTCCTCTGGCAGCATGTCTGGGGTGTCCGAGCCCCTGAGCCGGGTGAGGGTGGGCACCCTGCGCCGGCCCGACATCCCCCCAGAGCCTGTGGTGGTAGTGCCTGTGGACGTGGAGAAGGAGGATGTGCGGATCCTCAAGGTCTGCTTCTACAGCAACAGCTTCAACCCTGGGAAGAACTTCAAGTTGGTCAAGTGCACTGTGCAGACAGAGATCCAGGTAAGAGATGGGCATGGGTGAGGTGGGCTAAGCTAGAGTCAGAAGCCCTGGGTTCAAATCCCACCTTTGTCTCTCAATGGTTGTGTGACCTTTGACCAAATTCAACCACCCTGGGTCTCAGTTTTCTCATCTGTAAAATGAAAGAGGTAGACTAGATGACCTTTAAGATTACTTTCAGCTCTCTAACCCATGATCCTTTCTTTCCTTTGAGCTGACCCAGCTCAACTGTCCTGGTTTAGGTATTTCCATACCTGTGAAAAGGTAGCATGGAATTGCCTTAGGGCACATCTCCAGACTTGGCCTCCGTGTCTACTAGGCTGATTTCTTCTCTCAGTCTAAGAATTTAGTTCTAGGGTAGTTCATTACTATAACATACTGGACAGATGGTCCTCCAGCCTCTGCCTAAAGACCTCCAAGGAGAGTGAACCCACTACCCCTTGAGGGAGCTCTCCTTGTTAGGAAGTTTTTCCGGACATAAGTGTCCATTTTCTTCTTTGTAACTTCCACTTTTTGGTTCTGATTCTGCCCTTCTGGGACTAGTCAGAACAAGGTTGATTGTTCTTTCACATACTTGAAGACTGCTGTTATGTGCCCCCTGAATCTTCTCTTCTCTAGCTAATCAGATCCTAAGACCTCATAGGACACAGACTCAAGGTCCTTTACCATCTTAGTTATTGTGTCTATGCAGATGACTCACAGATACACACACACATATACATGTATATGTTGTGTGAGCATAATTTTCTTTTATTCATTCATTCATTTATTAATTCATTTATTTTTATTGATTGATTGATCAATTTATGTGCTTGTTGTCTGCTCCATTAGAATGTAATCTCCTTTCAAGAAAAGATTGTCTCATTCTTTGTACCTGTATCCCGAGGGCCTAGCACAGTGCCTGGCATGTAGTAGGTATTTAATAAATGCTTACTTACGTGATTTATTTGGCACTCTCTGTCTTATCAATATCTTTCTTAAACTGAGGTGCCCAGAACTAAACCCCATATTCTGTATGGTCTGAAAAAGCAGAGTTCAGTGTGTCTATCACTTCCCTATTCCTGGAAGTTATACCCCTCTTAATGTAGACCACACTTAGAACCTTTATGACCTTGGACAAATCACTTAACACTTGGACTATTACAGCAATATTCTGGTTGGTCTCGGCCATAAGTCTCTCCCCACTCCAGTCCATCCTCCACTCAGCTGTCAAAACGATCTTCCTAAAGCATAGGTCTGACCATATCCCCATCCCATTCCTCATTCAGTAAACTCCAATGGCTCCCTGTTACCTCCAGAATCAAATATAAAATCCTCTCTTTAAAAGATTTTTAAAACCCTTAATAACCTGGTTCCTTCCATTCTTTCCAGACTTCCTACACTTCATACCCTCTATGTACTCTGCTGTCCAGCTATACAGGCCTCCTTGTTATTCCTCAGACATGGCACTCCATGACTTTTCACTGACTGTCACCAATGCCTGGGATGCTCTTCCTCCTGGTTTCCACCTCTTGGCTCCCCTGGCTTCCTTCAAGGCTTGGCTCAATGTTTACTTGCTTCAGAAGGCCTTTACTGATCCCTCCTACCTATTGTGCCTTCTTCACCCATCCTCACTTCATACATTTTGTGTGGATGTGGTTTTTACATGTTTTCTTTCTCCAATAGTAGGTGAACTCTTTGATGGAAGGTAGGGGCAGGAACTACGGATTTAAAAAAAATTTTTTTTTTACCTTTCTTGGTATCTCCAGAGCTTATCTCAGTACCTGGCGCACAGTAAGATGCAGGTTGACTTGATGACTTGTTCATTGAAACTCTCTAATCCTCAGTATCCTTATCTGTAAAGTGAAGGGGATAGATGAGATGAGCTGTGAGGTCTCGCCTGGCTTTATATTTATGATCCTGTGAATGCCCCCTGTAGGCTGAGCCCTGTCAGAAGGCCCAGTCCTTATTTTCCAGGATCTTGAAGTCTATCTCTGCTTCTAGTCTCTTCTCCCATTTTGAATCCTTGCCAGGATGGTTACCACTTTAAGAAATGGTTCCCCCATCAAACAATCTCTATAGATGGTGGCCAAAGCAGCAGGATTTGGGCTAACGGGATTCAGTTTTCTTCTGGCAATACAAACTTCCTAACAAAGAGAGCTCCCTCAAGGGGCGGTGGGTTCACTCTCCTTGGAAGTGGGCCAGAGTGGAAGAGGACCGTTTGTCCTACCTAGAATCGAATTCTTATACTGAGAAAGGCAAGGATTCATACCTGAGAAGACAGAGTATGGAACTGGTAGGGATTCCTTATGTTAAATCCCTAGGCTTGGCCTCCATGTTTATTAGGCTGATTACTTTCTGGGGCAGCTCATTATACCTTTAAATGACTTTAATTATTAGGAAATTTTTTCTTTCATCAAACCTAAATTTTCCTCTTTGTAACTTCTGTCTGTTAGGGGTAGCTAGATGGTATAGTGGATAGAGTACCAGGTCTGAAGTCAGGAAGATTCATTTTCCTGAGTTCAGATCTGTACTCAGACCCTCACTAGCTGTGTGACTCTAGGCAAGTCATTTCACCCTATTTGCCTCAGTGCCTCATCTGTAAAATGAGCTGGAGAAGGAAATGGCAAACAACTACAGTATTTTTGCCAAGAAAATGAGCAGCTAGGTAGCACAATGGACAGAGTGCCGGGCTTGGAATCAGGAAGACTCATTTTCATGAGTTCGATTTTGACTTCAGACACTTAGCTCTGTGACTCTAAGCAAGTCACTTAACTTTGCCTCAGTTCCTTGTCTGTACAATGTCCTGGGGAAGGAAATGGCAAAGGGTACCTTTGCCAAAAAAAAAACCCAAATACGGTCATGAAGAGTTGGACACCACTGAATAACAAGTACAAACTTCTATCAATTTCTGCCCTCTAGGGCTTAGTGGAACACGTATAATCCCTCTTCTGCATGAGTAACATGAACTGCTCCTTAGAGAATGATTAGGGGTGAATTATACTTGGCACAGTATTAAACTGAACATGCCTGTAGAGCCATTAAAACTGATACCTTATCAGAGGACATCAAAGATAGAGACAAAGATTTCACATAAACATCTATGGCAGTATTTGTGGCAAAAGAAAGGGAAACAAAGTGGTGCCATCAACTGGGAAGTGCTCGTAGCTAAACAAACTGTGGCACATGAATGTCATTGAATACTAATGAACTGTAAGAAATGACAAATGCAAAGAATTAAGAGAATCTTTGGAGGATGTATGAACTGATATGGTGCAAAGTCAGCAGAGTCTGGAGAATAATCCACACAGTGGTCACAATAATGTAAAAAAATTATTGAAAAACATCAATATTTTGATTATTGCAGTAAAAAAAATGTAGAAGGAGGACTCAGCTTATAGTCATGGGAAGGTTCATGATGATAATTTCTTTTTTTTTTTTTTTTGGTGTGGCAATCGAGGTTAAGTGCTTTGCCCAGGGTCACACAGCTAGTAAATATTAAGTATT